ATATCATCGATGGTGTCGGCGTTCATCACATCCCGCGTCACCATTTTGGCCGTCAAGTCGTTTTGCACGATGGATACCAGTGGTGTGATTGAAAATACCCAGATTATATACAAGTAGTTACGAAAGCTCAAGTTTTCCGCTATTCGTATGATTGGCTTAAAGTAGACCCAAATATTGTTTAACAGAATATTCTTGGTACTTTTCTTACTATAGATTAGTTTATCGGTTATTATCATAACTATAAACGCAAATAGTGTGCAAAACCAGACGTATTTGTGAAATACTTGCCAAATATGCATAATAGGAGGGAATGGCTTATAGTTATTAATACTGATATAATTCATCAAGTACGCCAAATACAGTGGTCGAGTACAATTCAGCGAATGATACACAGTTTTATCGTAATAATCCAGATAATAATGGTTGTCGATCGCAGTAACCAATCCCTTTGATACCATTTCAGGCTCCGATATGTTATGAATGTAGTCATCCTCATCGCACGTAAATATATACAGATTTATGCTATAATTGTATCATTAGAATAAAAATTAATCGTTAAAATAATTTAATCATGCTGAATTTAATATTCACCTGTAATTAAACTTCTGTCCTATGATGGATAGCATGGGAATGGCAGATGAATAATAAAATGCCGTCCCGTTTTTTGGTGGCACCTCTAAGAACTCTTTCTAGTATTACCATATATTTACATTATTTATCATTAATATAAAATTCATATAAATACATATATTTCAAACTTGGTGTTGATTACCTGGTCGTAAAACTTCATGATATTAAAAGTGTTGTCCCGTTTGGGTAGTTGACCGGTTGATAGATATGTCGTGCAGTCTATATAAGACATGTTGACGAGTGCCACGAATTTGAACCACAGATCAAATTCATGTGAATTAATATATTTGAATGGATTGGCGAACCCTAAAAGCATCTCTTTGAAAAAGGTCATTTTTGCAAATTGTAGTGTTGTTAATATATTTGTGTTGTGTTTATTATGAATGATACTTGATACAGATTTAACTATTATTTTAAAATATAGTAATTTATAAGTTTTCCAAATCAATTTAAATATTAATTATAAATTTAAATAACTCCTAGTTCCTTTACTACAAATATTTATAATACTTTTCTAATTGAATAGTACCGGTGAGAATTTGAATATAAATGTATGTCACTTGGGTGTAACTTAATTTATGACAATTCAAAAAAATCTATTGATTTATATGTGAAATTTGTTTACTAAATAACTAATAATTTTAATTAAATTTGCATATTGGCAATATAATATATTTTTATTAAGCTTGACAACATAAAAATAAGTTTAATCTAAAATAAAAAGGTTTTAATACCATATTACTACTGTATTATACTGTATAGTACCGATATATGCAATACTGACAATTAAAAACCAAGATTACATTTTATAGTCAACTTCCCAGTAGTCACTACTGTTATTACAAATTGTTACAAAAATACATTAATATAAATTTATATATTGTCCGTTGAATTAAAACTAATTAATTTTGCTAATCGTTATTAAATTTATTTATAAAACTTAAGAAAAGTGTCACAATTTATGAATTATAGACAACGCCCCCATCGGTGACCAGATTAGCGCCGGTAATGAACTGGGCGTCAGTGGAGGCCAGGAATACGACACCTTTGGCCACATCTATGGGCTGACCGATACGTCTCAAGGGTGTGGCGGCCGCCACTTTGGCCAACTCCTCGGGAGTGGAGTGCCGTTTCAGGTTATCCGTCAGTATCCAACCCGGGCTATACAGCATTGCATATCATTTTAAGTTTTCATATAAATATACCGTATTATGAATTTGAGATATTTATTAATAATTACTTAATAGCGTTGACCCGGATGTTTGGTCCCAACTCAATGGCCAGCGCTCGGGTGGCAAAGTCCAGGGCCACTTTGGACACACCGTATGGTATGGAAGCCTTTCCCTAATATTTTAAATGAAAATAATTTTATAGGTATAGAGTGAGTGAGTGAGTGAGAGAGAGAGAGAGA